AGAAAAAAAAGAACTTGGTAAAAAAAAAAAAAAAGGGGGGGGGGGCGGAAACACAGAAGAACTGAATCTATGTACAGAAAAAAAAGAACTAATTAATCCGTAAGGTCAGGTTTTCTCGCCAGTACCTTCGTTTTTTTTTTTTGTCTTTTTTTCCTTTCTCCACGGACACGGATGGGTGGTGAGGTCCAACTAGCAAAGAGCATTGGATTGAACGCCTGAATCTTTCCGCGTTTGTGGACAAGTGCAGAAAATCGAGATTGAACTCCTTTTCTGCATCTTTGCCTAAAACACGCCCAGATTCAGGATCTCAATCCAATCCCGGTTGCTAGTGGGACCATGCTCCAGATGTCAAACTCATCGGAATAGACACGGCACTTGCTCTTGTTACCCGAAAGGCATGCCCAAGTTATATATACATATATATATTTATAAATATATATATATACGACGAAACAGTTTGTCACAGCCCCTCGTTTGTTGTCTTCTTCTCTCTCTCTGCCTACGGTTTACCGGGCAGTTCTGTTTGTGACGATATATATATATATATATATATATATTGATGGCTATATACGCCTCTATCTGTGTCTTGCAGCTATCGCTCCCTCTCAGGGTTCCTTCCGTTCCTGTATACTACTGTATAGTTCTTCACTTTTGTGTATAGTTCCCACGCAGACTGAGGACCGTTTTTCTTCATTCGTTTTGCAGGGAGGAGTCGCCAATAAAATTAACATTTCGAAAGGAGGGGTCCCTATCGTTGTTCTTATATCCACTTGACTCCCGTCGGGATTCCGATCTCGATGATGCTCCTTCCGCAGCCATTGTCGTCTGGCGGAGGAAAGGAAACCTATCGGGACAGGCCCACCGCACCGGCGCCAGGTCCCACTAGCGGCGTTGAGTTTCGTCAACGCCTGAATCTGGAGGTGTCTGTGGATATGTGCAGAAATCGCATTGAGTTTTCTCAACCGCACATCTCCACGAACGAGTCCAGATTCAGGCGTTGAGGGAAACTCAACGCTGCTAGTGGGACCTGGCCCCGGTCGTCGCAAGTACGTGCACAACAGGGGGACCCAAGTAACTGGGTAACTTGGGGCCTCGCCACAGCACTCTCGAAATGTGAAAAAGACAAAAATGTGGCGGGTGCATCTGGCCATGTTCTAGTGACAAGTTGATATTCATTTTGCCCATTTCGAGACCGGGGGCCAGGTCCGAATCGAATCGCTATTCGATTCGAGTTCTTGAGTTTGGATTGGTTTGTAATTTTGAGATCGGATTCGAGGCGACTCTACCTGTAGAAGATGATGAGCTGGGATTCGATTGAGCTGTGTGACACTGTAAATACGCCGCCCGCCGCCAGGCCGGATCGATTGGATTCCAGTAGTTTTTTTCCTGAGTAGGATCTGAGGAACTTTCTGAGAAGGATCTGCCGAGTTTTCTGAGTAGGAACTGTGATCATGAGAAGGATTGCAGTAATTTAGAGATGTAATAATAAGGGCCTCGCTCCGTCACTCGCACAGGCACAAACGACAAAAGTTATGGAGGCGCATCTTTCCATGTTCTTGGAGAAGATTCATGCTCAATTTTGCACATTTGGTGATCACTGATCTTAACTTGGGTTGAGTTACGAGAGGAGGAGGAAAGCAGCCGATAACGCTTTGGTTTAGGGTGGGTGATCGGAGGAAGCGATGGCTAGTCCATGACTTGTAAAAATAAGGGCCTCGCTCCGTCACTCATACAGGCACAAACGACAAAAGTTATGGCGCCGCATCTTTCCATGTTCTTGGAGAAGATTCATGGTCATTTTTGCACATTTGGAGAGCGATGGAGCGATGCCCTATATGTATATATATATTATTTAATTATAAATACGTATTTTTTTTTTAAGTCTACAAATTTATTACCAAAAAGTATGGGTTTGTCAGGCTCTGCAGGTCTGTGACGATTTTTTATTTTTTTTTCAGTTTTTTTTTTTTTCCAGGGTTGGATCTAGTCAGGACAGCGGTCTGGAATTGGTCACTTCTGTTGCTGGACATTTTATTCCAACTCCTGCACCTATACTGGGTAATGGTCCCAGAGTTTCCTTTCCTCCGGGTTGTTTGTGGAGGGATTCCCGGGCTCCTTCTCTTGATTTGCAATATAAAGGGCAGTTTTTTTTGTTATGAAAAAAAAAAAAAAAAGGATAAGACCGGGGACCTCATCATTCAACCCGGAGATACTTGGGGACATTACCCAGCTCCGGCTAGCGACGCCCTATAAAGAGTAGCTTCTGGAGTGGACTTCCACTGAAATTGATATTAGAAAGATGATAGTCAGGAAAGACTTGCACCAGCCTGAGGCTGTTGGGAGGTTGAGGGTACCCACTCAGAGTAGGGCTTGTTGTGCTCAGCCCCCTTAGACCTTACTTGCGGTCAGGTACATGCTTGCAGGGTCGTATTTGAGGCCAGATTCAACCACTACAGTGCTGGAGTGAGTACGCTGTGAGTCTCGCTTGGGTTGCAGGCGAGTGCTCCGCCTTGATTCCGCCCCATTCCGGGGGCTAGGTCCCACTTGCACGAATTAAGAGATACTGACCGTAGATAGCAAAGATCAACGGCCGAAATCTCCTAATCGGCGCACGTGGGACCTTGCCCCGGGTTGAGCCTGAGGGCCAGATCCCACTGGCGAAAACGACTGGAACAAGTGTCTGAATCTGGACGTGTTTGTGGAGAGGTGCAAAAAGCCGTAATTGATCTGCTTTTATGTATCTCTGCGTGGAACATGTCCTCATTCAGACACTTATTCCAAATTCCAATCCTCTTTGCCAGTGGGATCTGTCCCTGTGTTTCCAACTGGGTCTGGTTGAGTTGACGTGGCTTTGGCCGTGGGTTCGAACTCCTGACTTGAATGCTCAGTATTTTTATTTTTATTTTTTTATTTTATTTTTTGAATGCTCAGTGGATGCCACGTGGAGTCGTGTGATAGTGTGATGTAAATCCTCTTTTGAGTAATTGTTTTCTTCAATAGAGGGCGCCAATCTCTGTTTTTTTTTTTTTTTTTTTTTTTTTTTTTTTTTTTTNTTTTTTTTTAGGACGCTAATCTCGGCGTCCAACCTTTTGTTGAAGATCAAGCAAGGGTGAGGAATGTCGTGATTGTTTCCTTTTTTGGGACCATTTCTCTATTTCGGCCTTTCATCCTTGATTGTGCAGGGGGGATGCTATCTTGTTTGTTTGTTAAACTTTGTTTTTTGTCCCGGAAACCCACACAAGGGGCATGCTATCTTTTTTTTTTTTCTTCATCTAGTTTTTTTTCCTCCTTTTGTCAAAAACCCACACACAGGTTACCCTTCTCTTATGGGTGTCCCAAAAAATAATAAAAATAATAATAAATCTCTTATGGGAGGCGACAGTCCGGTTACTACCGTAGTCACGGCCAAACAACTGAACCAATGAACGAACTACAATCGTGTGTGAGCTCTGTCGGTCCCCTGGCCTGTGGTGTCTTTGGGCCTCGCTGCAGTACTTTCGAAAAGTGCAAAACGAGAGCGAATCTTCCGCTAGAATATGGATAGATGCACTTCCATGATTTTTGTCTTTTGTGCATGTCGAGAGTAGTGCAGCGACGCCCTTTCTTTGTAAGGTGCCATTTTTGACAGATGCCCTTTTCAGACTCGGATCAGTCCCTCGTGTTTTGCATTTCTTCGGTCTTCTTGGGTTGAAAAATAGAGTAGGGATAACAGGTAGAGACGGCCCACCAAAAACCCTAATATTTGGTTTATCATACCCAAGGTTTTCAGGTTGGGTACAAAGGACCCATGGGTTCACGCCGTGCTTTTTTTTTTTTTTTTTTTTTTTTCAATTTGAACTTCGTACGTGGGAAAACCTATTTAAGGAGGTGATAAGAGCAGCCCCGTTAAGTACGGTCATACGTTGAAGGCTCCATGTATTGGTGGGGAGCAGCACCTGCTGGAAATCGGTTCAACGTCCCTTGACAATGATGTGATGTATATGAGCTGGAAATGGGGTCCAGGGTACCTATACAGTATTGTGTGGAGATATCATAGTGTGCATCCAATATACTCTGTGTACATAGATATGTGTCGCATGAAGAGAAAACCCTATCCACCATATCAACCATATCAGATTCTCCGGAAAGAGCAGAGGCATTGATTACTTCCCTGCACAAGAGAAGGATTGACCTCCTGCCCATGTAGCGTATTCCTAAGGAAAAGCATTTTCATAGATTACTCCAACCAGCAAATCAAACCAAGACATGCAACCCTAAGCAACCTTCCTCCCCTTGGGGTTGATTGGAAGTTGAGGGCCGGTCAACTCCTATCGATAAAGGGGACATCATCTATCCCACTTCCACCAGGTTGATGTCATCTTTGGTGTTGTCGTTGTTGTTGTTTTTGTTATTGATATTGTTGTTGCCCCTTGTTGTTTGTTGTTTGTTGTTTGTTGTTGTTGCTGTTGCTGTTGTTGTTGTTGTTGTCGTTGTTGTTGTTGTTGCTGCCCTCGCCACCGTTATCATAATCTTCACTGCCCACCCCCTTGTCACGGTTGGTGGTGATGTTCTTATCTATTGTTGTCCTCATCTTTGTTATTGCTGTTGTTGTTTTTGTTGTCGCTGCTGCTGATGTTGTCATCTTCACCGCTGCCAACTCCGTCACTGCCGTTGGTGTTGCCGCTGTTGTTGGTGATGGTGCCGCTGCCATGTTTGTGGTTGATCCTATTGCTGTTGTTGCAATTGCTGTTGACGTTGTTGTTATTACGATGGTTGTCACCGCTGCTGTCGCTGTTATCACCCCTACTGCCCACAACGGTGTAGTCGCAGATGATGTCGCCGCAATAGGTTTTGCACATCTGCCGCCGCAATAGGTTTTGCACTTGTCACCACCACCGCTGTAGTCCCCTCCGCCGAAGTGCGCAGTGATGTGTTGGTCGCTGAAGTTATGGCTGTTGACTTCATCACTGGCTGATAACCCAAAACTAGCTAGCATCTCCCAGCCCGTCAGCAGGATGACCAAGAGTAGCCCCCCATCCACCACTGTGTCATCCTTCACCAACCAATCCTCCATATGATAACGCAGGTCAAGCCCCTCCCGAAATAAAGCCTGGAAGACTCCCATCTTTGCGTCCACCAGTCTCCAATCCATATATGCTTCGAACCGGGGATCCGGGCCCTCCTCCAGCTCTCACAAAATATCCAGCAGATCTTGGATGCGGGCTTCCAAGTTCCAACCACTCAACCAGTGTCATCGGCGCCCCATCAACCTTCGATCCCTTCTGCATCTGACATGACAAAACCCCCCCCACCGCCTGCAGCTGCTGACATCCCCTCTCCATAGAAGTCAGCCAGTCATCGACCCCTTGTTGTAGGTCCCTGACAGTCTCCGTGACTCACGTGAGAGCTGCGCCGCTTCTTTATAATAGCAATCCTCGACTCCGCTGCCGCTTCCCCTCCCCACATGTCGAGCCGCACACACAGTGCCAATCAATGAGTGCCACCTGGCTATCAATAAGCCTGGTCACCCAGACTTGCCCTAATATGAGGCACGCGCACAGGCCCAGAAACACGGGAGCCCAACCTCCCGGGTGCTAGTCGCACCGGGCCGACCGGACCCAGCCGGTCGGCCGGCAGCAGGGCGCCAGCACTAGCGCAGCTCGGTCAGCTCTCTCATTTACGAACCAGTACTTGCCCATTGTCACTTCATCTGGGTTCTCGCCGTCCTAAGCTAACATGTGGCAGCAGCTAATGCCAGCCATTTGGTCGCTCCGCTCTGCTTCTTCCTACTGGATTATGAACCTGGAACTGTATTTGTGCCATCATTTTCCGGTTTGCCGCTCTGAATTGGTTGAATGATAACGATGGGTTGCCAAACCACTGAGCCACATCTTACTCATGCAGGTTCACAAGACCTTCCTCACCTACGGTGACCTACCCTTTCACCTACCCTCCAGCACCTTCCACGCTTGCCCTTCCCCCTATCCCACTTTCGGAACGAGCAGAAGCAACTCTCTCTCTCTCTCTCTCTCTCTCTCTCTCTCTCTCTCTCTCTCTCTCTCTCTCTCTCTCTCTCTCTCT